CATAAAGCATCAGGGATTTCACCATTCTTCCACCCAAGTTTCACCATATATTTGATGTTTGTTTTTACTTCAGTTTTATCAGAATTCATGTTGCTCTGATAAGGGCTCTTTTCAAACTGATGTCTTATACTTCTTAGTGCCTTAAATCCTATTAAATCTTAAATTCTAGTGCCTTAGATCCTATTCAGACATGTTATATAAGTTAGTATGAATTTATTTTGGTGCAAAAATTTGAAATCCGTGCATTGTTTTTAAATGATATGCATTTTCAACAAACTTTTTGAAGACCCCTCATGTGTACACAGGTAAATGTTTTTATTCACAAATCTTTGATCAACTGCCCATTTCATGACACAGAATCTGCACCCATAGAAACATAAACACATACATATTCATGTGCATATAAAACATTTTATGTGTGCATCAGATGAAGTGGAGTAGAATGGACAGAGGAGGAATGGAGTGGAATGGAATAGAAATTAGAATAGAGTAGAAAAGAAATGAGTACATCATGTGGTGAGGTTAAGTATTGTTTTTTATAAAACTTTTTTTCAGTCATACGTGTAAGTTAGGTCATGATGTAAAATGTATTTCTGTGGGTTACAGTCAATAAAATTTGTAAGCCATTGGAAGAAGAAAACATTTTATGTGCGAAGTACTTTTTACTATCCAGAGCACTTTTTATATAAACATGTTGGTTTACCTGCTCCACAGGAAAAAAACCAAGATGCAGATAAAGCAAGAATTTTTAACTCCATTTTATAAATGAGGAAATTGAGGTACTGGTGTTAATTTCATCAAACATATTAACCACCTGCCAAGTACTAGAGATTAAGTAAACAAATTGTGGTGAACAAATAAATGGACACTTGCCTGCCTTCAGTGAGTTTTCAGTCTAGATGAGGAGATAGACTTTAAACATAATGCCATAAATAAATACTTAATTTCCATTTAATATGTGGTGTGAAGGGAAAGAACAGGATACTATAAGCATAGATAATAGGTACCCTAACTAATATGAAGGGTCAGAGAATGCTTCCATAATCAGGTGATATTTAATCAAACCACAATATGAAAAATAAGGAGTTAAGCAGAGAGAGGACCACTGGAGCCAGAGGCAAACCATGTTAGAAGATCCCTGAGATGGGAAGGAGCTTGGGGTGTTGGGACAGAGAGCAGCTGGGTGGGCTAGAGCGTAGTGAGTAGGGGAAAAGAGTGGTTCCTGATGGGGCTGAAGAGATAGTTGAGAGACATTTGGTTTGGGGTCCTGTTGTCCTTTGGAGGATTTTAGAAAAATATGTCCTATATGCATTGGATGCCACTGGGTTTTTATTAGCAGATAGGGGTGACATAATCAGATTTGTTTTTCTAAAAAAGTCATTTTGTCTGCTGTATGGAAAATGCCTTGGAAGTTGGAGGGGAAAGACAAGAGGGGATACAGGAAGACCAGTCAGCATCCAGTAGCCAAGAGTGGTCCGGGAAAGAGGTTATGGTAGCTGTGACCTGAGTGGTGGCATTGGCTATAGGGAAAAAGTGTCAAAAAACTGGCTTTTGAGAATATAGAATTGACTGAATTCAATGATTAAATGGCTATGGTAGGTAAGAGAGAAAGTTGTCAAGAATGAATTCCAGGTAATGTGTTTTTCCCAAGATCACATCAGTAATTACAAAGCAAGGACTCAAATTGGTAACTTGATTCCTAATCCATTACACTTTCTACTATACCAGAAAGGGAAGAATCTTAGCTGCGTGTGCTATTGCAGCTGCTGTTATTTTCAAACTATCCAAACATCAGGACTTCCTTAGTCCCACTGTGTAGATCTCATAGGATTTAACTGAGACTCATAGAGTCTGGGCAGAAGACTATACAGGGCTGTATTTTGGACATTAACACCATAAAAATCTTTAACATAGTCCATTCTTTGTATTAGCTGGACAGAAGAACAAAGGTGTTGCTGATATCTTCATATGTGTACTCCCTCCACATTTTAGAAGACCTGACAATCTCTTTCATTGGAATCATGACTTTATATTAGATATGTTTTTTATATATAGTTATGGAAGAAAAATATATTTAATCCCTGAAAATAAGCACTGGTTTACATGCCCAGGACATAAAGGAAATTACATCTATTCTTCCTATTCGTTTTGTTTGATTTCTGGATGAAGCTCTGGTTTGGGGGTAATGCTAAGTGATTTTAGAGTGTAAAGATTTGATGAGTCTTTTACCGAGTTGGTGGAAAGGAGAAAGAATAATAGTAGGAAGCATGGTGGCATTATAAGTGGCATAGGTAAAACTAAGGCATTATTTTCAAGCCAGTCGAATTTTACTGTCTTAATTATTTTTTAAACTACTTGCAAGACTGGATTATTCCATAGACTGGTACTGATTATGATCTAAGAGAGTGAATCGTAGCAGTGGAATGATTTCTTAGCTGCAGGTTAGTTTTATTTTTCTCAAAGGACGGTGTTTGTAGGAAAATGTGGTAGTGTGAATAGATTTGAATAAACTACTAAATTTTAAATTAAATTAAAAAGCTGTATTTAACATGGTTGAGATTTTACACTTCAAATGTCAGGAAATTCTAAATTATAGTTCCCACAACAGCAATAATTCAGCCAAATTGCGCATATGTATTAAGGCATTAAAGTTAACACTCTGTGCAATCATGTAATAAACTACATATCCATAAGAAAGGCAGTTATGGTAGCTTTGGGAACCATCATTTTGCATTTCCTGACTTGTACATTCAAAATCTGAGTTCAAATATGTACAAATGTAATTGTGTTGAATTTCCATATGTACAAATACAACTTCATAAATTGCTGACAGTTTGAAAGAAAATGTAGAATTGCTTATGAAACATATAGATTTTAAATATTCATTGTTATGATTAATAATATTTTTAGAAATATAAAGCATTTATTCTCAAAGAAACTTTCAGGTCAAAAAATATTTGCAATTTTGAGGTTGACATATCTGAATTTTAGAGGGAAATAAGTGAAAAAACCTAATAAAAGGTTTGTTTTATTTTATTACTTTTTTATTGCAGAAGTATTATATATTTATTGAAAAAAAAAAGCAAAATTGAAAAAGTGTTAATGCCAAGATTTTTTCAAAAAGTTTATAGCAATTCACATACTCACCAGAAATGTATAACAGTGCTAATTTTTGAGAACTTAATTGGTTAAAAAATATATCTCATGGTTGCTTTAAATTTCAATTCTTTATACAATACTTTAACTTTTTAACAAACACTGTGTGCCAGGTACTGTTATAACTACTTTACAATATTAACTCATTAGGTCCTCATAATAATTCTTTGAGGTATATAGGTACCCTTGTCCCCATTTTACAGATAGGGAGACTGAGTTACAGAGAAGTTAAGGTATTTGGCTACAGTTACACAGCCAGTAAGTAGGGAATCAGCATTTGAACCCAGACGTGTGTCCAGAGTCTGTGCTCTTAACTACTGTTCTTTGCTGCCTATACCAGTGGGAATATTTTTTTTTCTCTTTGTCATTAGTAAGCACTTTTTTTTATAGTGTAAGTATTTAACCATGTGTTGAAAATGTTTTCTTCCACTCTATTACTGGTCATTTCACTTTTTTTTTTTTCTGAGATCCTAAAAACTTTTCTTATTTTCTTTTAACTTTTAGATGATCAAATGTGTCTATGTTAATTCTGTTTTTTGAACACTTCAAACAGTGGAAGAGGTATTTTTCTTTAAAGTAAACCAGGGGCCGGCCCGTGGCTCACTCGGGAGAGTGCGATGCTGATAACACCAAGGCCACGGGTTCAGATCCTATATGGGGATGGCCAGTTCACTCACTGGCTGAGCGTGGTGCTGACAACACCAAGCCAAGGGTTAAGATCCCCTCACCAGTCATCTTTTAAAAGAAAATAAAATAAAATAAAGTAAATCAGAATTATACAAATCAAATTGTTTGCAGTGGCAGTTAATAATTCTTTTATAATTATGTTATCATTTTACTCCTAAAGTTACTGTGTAGTATATACATAATTATTTTTTAAAATTGCGTGTCATTCCAATAACTCAGATATCCATTGATTACCTAATGGATGCTAAGTATCATTCTAGCAGTTCTGCCCTTTCTCTCCAGTGTTACCAGAGTTTCGCTCTTCACTGATCTTTGCCATCAGTATGCAAGCATGCTCTTTTTCCTCTCTTCTTAAACACTTCCTTTTCTTAAACCCCCTTCCTTTACCTGCTACCACTCCATTTAAACAAAGGACACAGATACACATCAGTGAAGCCTAATACAGACCACCCTATTTTAAAGTACAACCCATTCCCCTACTCGGTACTACCAATTTTCTTTACCCTACTCATTATTTCATTCAAAGCACTTTTCACCTTCTAACATACTATATAATTTAGTTACGAGTACTGTTTATTTCTTTTTTCGCTAGAATCTAAGCTCCATGAAGACAGAATCTCACTAGCATGTAGGAGGCTCTCAGTAAATATTTTTTTAAGTGGATGAGAATGCAGTATGCCAAGTAGTGGGGAAACAGAAATATGTAAGATATTGTCCCAGCATTTAAGTAGCTTATGAGAGAGACAGATTCATTTCAGTGTAATGTGGCACATTCTTTGATAGAGGTATCCTTGAAAATTTCAGTAGAAAAGGAAGTACTTTTGGCTTAAATGAACATCTCCCTCAGATACAATTTGAAAACCATTGAATTCAAAGATCTACAAATCCATTTTGTTTCTTTTATATCTGTATAATGTACATGTATGCATTTATGTATCAATGTACAAGATCTCAGTAAAATAGGGTAGGTGGGTTTTTGCAAACATTTAACCTGAAAGTTTAGTTATATAAACAGTCCTTTAAACATTTATAATCAGATTAATCTGTACTTTTCTGTCTTTTCAGTAATATGTGGTATATCCTATGAATAAATCACCATATTTTCATCTTTAAACACACCAGTAATTTTTAATATACAGTTCTTTTTCTCTGAACAGAGCGTGTGACCATCTGCGTTGTATAGCCTGTGATTTCTTGGTAGTAAGCTACGATGACTACATGTGGGACAAATCATGTGATTATCTGTTCTTCAGGTATGTTGCTAAAGAACTTCACTTTGTGAAAAATGTACCACGTTATAAACATGTATTTGAACTATACATTCACATTTTCAAATAAAAATTGAGTTCTAAAAATTAATAAATTGCATATATTATGCATTTTTAGCCCCCCAAACTAATGCCTAAACAAAGACTATTTTCAGATACAAATTATCAGAATATTTTGCAGCACTTTTCAGTAGCATAAAGAAAAGGGTGAGAGACTTTCTTTCACACATTTTCTGGCAGCCGTTCTCAGGT